GCAAATTCGATGCCTTACCTATTTTTCTAATGCAAAAAGTACAACCACCAAAATTTCGGTGCACCTCTTCATTTACTGCACAAGATAAATGAAGGAATTAAGACTTCTGAAGGGTAGCTGCAATTTCTGATCATGGGGAGAGCCAGGTATGTTCTAGGAGTTGTGAATGTCTTCACAAGTTACCATGCTACTCTTTCTTATAAAATACGTAAGATGCCTTTGGATCAAATTGTACCCCCAATGGAACTTCACTACCCATTTACCACAGGCCTCAATGGAGGCAAGGTTTAACCTCCAAGAGCAGAGCTTGGATGCACCTGAACACTTTTAACACGTTCATAAGTTTCCCCTATATCCTGCGTAGCAACAGCACCTTCCTTTGTCTGTCTTTTTTCCCCCTCCTTTCTCACTTTCCTTTTGCTACCACTTTCTTCTCCAACTTTCTTAATGTTTTATTTTTCCTTTTGATAGCTAATTAAGTAACCTATGCCACCTCAGTAACCAGCACAGCGGAGGTAGCATAATACATAATTACACCGTGCTTGTTTTGTCTTTTTTCTTTTTTTAATATAGACAAGATATTGTTTCATTCATCTCATACATTTCTTTCATTTGATTACTGCTATTGCAGCTCTCAATTTATCATGTCAAAGTTACAAAGGAAGTGACCTGCCAAGTCTGGCAGGTGACCCTGTTCCCAGGGAAGTTCTGATAACGTGGTATAACAGGAGAGAGAACATGCTAATGCTGTCTGTTGAGAGCACGTCATAAAATTGAATCCAGATTCTCTGACTTAATCCAAAGCCCTACACTGGTGCCAGAAGTGAGTTTTAAGAAAGATTAAAATATGTAGGGGTATCTATGAACAGTAAGACTTTCCCAGTCCCTCTGAAAAGCTTTAGCTCTGCCATATTTTCCCGTATATGCGCTCAAAGCTATTTAAATGCACGCGTGTGAACCACTCGCGCTGCGTGTGAAAGCTGCGTGTGTGACTGACGGAGAACTTGAGAAGTCACCTCAGGTCCTGGCATTGCAAGACTGAAAACTGTATCCAGAAAATGAAGGGAAAAGCAGCCTGGCTGAAAATGAACGCCTGTTAACACACTGTTTGTACCGTACCTAAAGGAAGATGAAAGTGCCGAGACTTTTTCACTGAACTGTGGTCTTCTAATGTAAGGAATTTGCAAAGCTAAATTCCCTCATGGGCTGTCACACACTCGTGCCATCTCGGTCCACATGCGTCGCCTACAATGTATGCAGAGCCTAGTACAGGTTTTCCTCGGTAATTCATTCTCAAGACGATGCACGAAGACAGAAACAACAGTTACACGATGTGATTATCAAGTGGAAGATGGCGGCTTTCTTCAATAATCTAAGAAACTTGTGAAGTTACAAGTGCAGGACATCTATATACAGCACCCAAATATCCTGCAATGAGTCGCAGAAATCTGTATGAATACTTCTTTCCATGGGGGTCTCCGGGCATTTAACTTTTAATACTTCAGCTTCTCTCCGAATTCTTGGAATTTTCAAAAACAAGCTGACAGCACATTAAAAATAAACACTGCTTTATTTGCCAGATTTAGATCTTATTAAATGTACATATATAAGTTAGCCGAATGCAATGTTTAAAAAATTTATTCCAACATTAGTGTCTCATATATATCAGCAACATACTTAGCAGACAAAAATGCCACTCGGATTACACGACAGTACAAGTCAAAACAAGCAGTACACATAGAACAGTAGGGAAGTCCACCTATTTTCACTCCGTTCTGTTGTCTCAAACTGATAGTATTACATAAAAAAGTAAAAACATAACAACAAAATCTTCTAGAAAAAACAGTATAGTGTCTTATAGTAGCACTCTTATTTTGCAGTCATTTGCTTAGAACATACCACACTAAATCCTTCCAAGGTAAAAATACTAAATTTTAATTGGAAAAAAAATAATCCCTGATTGTATTACACTTGAAAGGCCAATTTTCTTTTTCTAACCAATTCTAATGAAGCAATCTACTGTTGCTTAAATTACAGTAGTTCCAACACAGAACTATCTTCACCTTGGTTAAAGGACACTTTTAGATACTTATATTAAACACATCAAAATCAAATATTCCAACAGTAAGAATAAGCACATCCCCAAACTGACCAGTCCTTTTTTCTGATTTTTGTCACTTCTCAAGAACACTTCAGGAAATGTGTACGTATGTGAACCATTATAATCCTAATCATACTAATAATCTTTTGTCAAAATACTGCTTAATGACAAGTAAAGGCAAACTATTACGTAAAGAGGTGTTAGACTTATGTTGTTACGTGACATTAGCTCTTAATATGACAACACATTCTCTTTTCAACAGTTTCTATATACGAAGAAGTAATGCTATGAAGTGTAATGATATATTTTTAAGATACATATTTCTTTTTAAATAAGCTGATCCCAGATTTTTTCCACTTTCTATTGTATGATACAACATATGCAAAACATCTGTTTGTATAGCATTAAATAGGAAGTGATCTCAAAAAATAAGTTTGAAAGAAGCAAGAAGTAGGGGTCAAAACATCAGCTCAAATTCAGGGTCTGCAGGCAGGGCTTCTGCCTATCAATGCTGTATCCCAAACGAAGGTATTTCCCTGTTTTCCTCCATCTTGCTTTTAAATAGCATTATTCATTCTCAACACATCTATTTTGCTGACATCTTTTCAAGTGTAGCATGTGAGGACACTTTATTACAGGACCTGAAGAAACTAACGTTCCGTAAGCAGGAACAGTGCATCTAATGCTGAGTTTTCAAATCTGTTTTCAGCGTCAGTCAGACGCTGAAATGGTTTTGCATAGAAATACCATTTTGCATCTCCCCACCTTACCGTTTGAAGCAATTGTTTGCATTGCTAACAGTAGCAAAACCGTGAAATCTAAATTAAGCAGTTTAGTTAACAGTGTATGTGTAAGAAGCAGCAAAGTGCTTGCATTGTGTAAATTCTGGTGTCGCATACATAGTTGTGGTGACCGATACTCTTCTTTGGCTTATACGTTACGCAGCAGAGCTATTTTATTTATATTTGCATTCCTCCAATAAATCCATTACTTCAAATATATCTGAATATTCAAGAACGTGGTCAATTCATCACGAACGTGAATTGCCAATACGCTCGATTTATCAAGCAAACTTACAGAACGAAGCTGAATAACTTACAGTAACGAGAAATGTACATCTGCTTCAACTCCTTGACTGGCAGCCAAACCATGTGATGTTTGTTCGAGGTAGGCACTTCAATGTTAAAATGTTTGCTAATAACGACGGTTCCACCCAAGACATTGATTTAAAACTGTTACAACGTTAAGGTTACTAGCCAAGTATTCCAAGGCCTAGGCTAGGTCTGCTAAAACAAAATATGGAAACCTTAAGTTGTGGATCTAGTAAACAGTACATCATTTGGCTGATAGGGAATACAAATCTAAATTTTTTTGTGTATACTTGCAAGGAAGTATACACTTTCAAAGTGCAAATATAGTAAAATTTCTAATCTCTGTAGCTAGTGTACTTCGGCGTGAGAGAACTCAACAGTCTGGTGCTACTTTATCTAAGCAGTCTAGGTATGAACGGCTCTCTGTCAACCGTTCGCATAGCACTAACAAACCCAAGTGTGCCCAGGCAGGCATGGTTTGGCTAACGCTGTACAGCTATGAGTGCAGGTTCACAGTATCACGATGCCTGCAAGCACACTTCAGAAATATGCATTTCCCCATAGCGACCATTTTCACATCTTTCGCCAAATGCAAATCAACAAGGCACTACGCATGGGAGCGTCGATATGTTTTAAATATACAGCAAAATCATAAAAATGCCTAACTGCTTCAAATTATAAAATGAGGGCACATTCATAAACGGCTAGTAGCTACTTTGCACAAGTAGTTATTATGTATTTATAAACTCAGTAACTTCGTATAAAAGCCTCATGACAAAACAGAAAAAAAATCCTTGAAGATTAAAAAGAAAAAAAAAACCCAAAACAAAAACCAAAAACCCCAGGCTCCTACATATAAGGACAATAACAATGTAAACATACATTATTTGGCATGCTTAAAATCTTCTGAATACAAATCCATGTACAAACCATCCAGCTAGATCAATTAGTGTGGCGGTCCAGCTCCCAGTCCACTGCACTGTGCGGTTACACTCCATAGCACACATCGAGTGCAGACACACAGCTTTAGCCCTTTGTTGGCATTCACGGAGAATCCAAACAGAGAATCCAAACAAAGGAGCAGCTTTGGCCAAAACTAACGTCAAGCATGATCTTCCAATGGCAGTTTTTGAGACTGAGAAAGAAATTAGGCGTATTTCTCCAAAGTGTATACATCTTTTCGAAAAACACTGTCATTAGATGATTCCACAATATTTGCCATTAAAGAGCAAACTCTTTGGCAGATGGTATCTTTACGAAAATAAGTTATGGGGTTTTTTTCCTTCATTAGTATGTATTAACTGAATTCTGTGCCTATAAATAATTCCAAGTGGAATTAAGCCAATATAGCTTTAAAAATCCATTCCTTCTAAAAAGTGTATAGAAGTTCAAAGCTGCAACCAAACGTTTCATAAGACATAGTGGATACAAAAAAAGCCCCAAACCCTAACCCTTGTATCAGGAGCATTCTCCTATTTAAATGATCATGTCATAAAAATAATAATTCTCAGCATTTTCCACAGCGGGAGTCCTCTATGAAATCCTTTTCATTCAGCTGGGATGCAGCCTGGAACTTTGCATTTAGCAACAGGGGGAGGGCTTGGTGGTAATGACCTTACATCCTGTGAGCCCTTTGAGGGTAACATTCCCTATACCGGGAATCCAAATTCTAGGATTACAGGATTACACTTATTACTCAAAGTGATGGGTAAATAGGAAACAGTGCTGAAGTCATACAGTTAAGTAGCTTTACTAAACCTAGAATGCTCAGTAAGACTTTTAAAGAAAAGTCTAAAATCTTTGGAGTGAAAGCAAAGGGTTGAAACTGCCCTAGAGCTTTCAAGATGATGCATACTGAGCAAATCACAGATAAAAAAAAGCTAAAATGAGCTAAACCCCAAACAGTTGTTTTTTCAACTACATTGCTCTGGATAACTCCATTCTCCCTTCTGTGGCGATGAACTCCTTTTCCGTGGCTCGTTTATCACCTTGACACAGTCTCTCCTTCAGTTTTTCAAGTTCATACTCATGTAGGATCTTCTGCGTTAAATACTTTTCACGTTTTATTTTGGCTTTCACATCTGCCGGGACATCAGGAATCATCCATGCTACAAAGAATTTGACGATGAATACAACATGCTGCCGCAAAAAAAAAAAAAAAAAAAGGAAGCCAGGAGAAATGTAACAACTCATTATCAAATGAAACACCTATTGTTTTATCTAACACCAAATAGATCGCTTCTCTTTTTGTTCACAAAGAGAATACATTTCATTTGGCTGTCCTGGAACAATACGTAACAAAGTAATGTGTATCTGAGATGTGCACAAATATTAAAACACTTCATTTTATGCAGAAACTAATTCCAAACTCCCTTTTCCCTTCAGAACTTGCAAGACAGTGGCTTAACACTGAAGTGTCAGTTATCCAAATTACTGATTTAGCTATTTTTAGCCATTTTTTTTAGCCAATATACATCACTGCAAAATGCCTTCTGGATTTTGAATACAGTCATCTCGCATACACCACTTTAATGAAAGCAGAAGTGAAAGTGCTAGTCCTGGTGGTTCATGTCTCTTCCATCTGCATTAAGATCTTTTTTATTCTGCTGTTTTATTTCGATCAAATCTAGCAGTCTCCTCAGCTGTTTTCACTGTTCTTACTCTGAGATTAACTTCCTGAAGTTAAAAGACCTATTTATAGTAATCATTTAGGACATGAGTAAGGGTCTAGAGCACAGGTCTTATGAGGAGCGGCTGAGGGAACTGGGACTGTTTAGCCTGGAGAAAAGGAGGCTGAGGGGAGACCTCATCGCTCTCTACAACCACCTGACAGGAGGTTGTAGCG